AAGAGGGCCGCACTGCGAACGTTACAGGAAGCAGAACAACCGGAAGCAGACACACTTCTGGACTGGTCGGGACATCAGGCCAACGGCAAAGCGCCAGGAGCACCACGTTGGAACTGTCTGCATACAGCACGGGACCTGTTTCGTCCTCCGACTCTGAGGCCGCTGTCGCTTGTGATACCGTTCTTCTTCTTCGTCCACTGGTCAGGGATGACAGCAATCAGGCCCTATATGGTACACGTATTCGAAAGCTTCCACGTGCCCATCGATCCAAATTGGGCCACAGTGAGTTCCAACCTACTGTATAGTTAATTGAGACTTGAGTTTCTCCATGCATCAGATTTAATCTTCCTCTTCTTTTGATTACCATCTTCTTTCTTCGCCTTCCCTTTTTCTTAATTCAATATACAATTAATAGAAGACTGTTATGCGCAAAATGTCCGCAGTTACCTGCCTTGAAAGTATTAACGCTTGATATTCCTGCTCCTATTGTAATGCTTATCCGTTCTGGAGAATTTATTTTTGGTCTGTCGTTAATGGCCCTCACGTCAGTTAATTTTACAGTATTATAGTGACTGCTATGTGGCCAGAGATTTCCATATTTGTTGGGTAGTATTAAAGTGGGCTGGGCACTGTCCCACAATCGAAATGGCTGCCTGCCAGCTCCAGCCTCTGATATCTGCATAATTTCAATATCAGATCTTGTAGAAACATTCGATTTTTATGCAACATGAATTTCTGATGTAGGATGAAGCAATACGGAGTAGGCAGGACTTGTCTGTCGAGCTAATCCAACTTAACAACACAAATACGTCATACAGAGTCGAAGTGGGCTGTGACTAAATTTGAAAAGTGGGGAAGGTGCAAATGAATGTGGCCGTGGTCAACTTTAATACATCATTTGTAACAACAACCCTCAGACACGGCGGGCCTTGAACTTCTGGAGTGGTAACTACCTATTTTGGTGATCTTCTAGGTGGTGTCGGCTGGCACAGGAATCCTGGGCTCCATGTGTTTGCTGCTGCTGGTACATTCGGCCGGCAAACGTTTCCTGTCACTTTGCTGCACCTCTCTGTGCTTCGTGGCCTGCCTCCTTCTCGGACTATACGCCTTCATGGTGCCCGGAGTTCCGGATCCTGCGGTGCAATGGCTACCACTCATACTCTTCATCGTCTTGT